CGCTGTATAAAATTGTACCGAGAATTTTAATGTAAATTCATGTGATTTAACTTTTAAATAAGTTTCAACGAACGTTCGAAAGTATATTCCCATTTCTGTTGGGTTTGTTAGAGCCAAATTAGAAAGTTTCGCGGCTGCTGGAACATGTATCTCGAAAGTGGATGAACCCGCTGAGATACGATATCCGACTCGAAGGGACCAACTTTAATTACAATCGATTGCTGTTTGATTCCAACTTTTACTATCGACCTATTTAATTTCTACGAATTTGTCCAAGATTATAGAATACTTCTAATCACTGTCTTTTGGCACATCTCTCTCGGTTGTTTTTCCTAACTGCGCTTTTATAAGAGTTTCAAATATCGTTTTTATTATATAACTCTCGCCCATAACTTCTTGGTTTGATGCAAAGAGTTCATATGGTTCATTTGATGTCATGTAAATTCAATCTCAAGGAAATCCAAACAAATAATAAATATGATATGTGTTCCTAATTTGAAATGTTTTGTTCTTTCCAGTTGAGAGGTTGAGGCGAGCTCAGCACGATGGGGAAACTTCTATCGAAAATCTTTGGCAACAAGGAGATGAGGATATTGATGCTGGGACTCGATGCCGCTGGAAAGACTAGTATCCTTTAAGAAATTAATCTTATATTAAAGTTGCATCGAACTTCTTACTAATATTATTAATGCAAAAGTTTCCATGGATGGATGTTATAACGTACTTCCAAAACGGCATAATGGATCTCGACGAAAATTTGACACAGATATAAATGGAAAAACGCATGGTCTACTTACTAAGTTTTTTATTTTAATTCCGCATGAAAAAAATCGCGGGTTAAAGCAAGTATTACCAATACCCAATAAAGATAATTTAAAATCTTTCTCACTTAAGGTAATTCGTATTTCGCTAAGCTTTCTAAAACGTATATTTTTTCAGTATAATTTTGCAATGCTTGTTGTTTTGAACATTTTTTACTTTCGTTTCTGTTTGTTCTATAATTTTATTTATGTAGAGTTTGATGCGGATCAGAAATTTATAAACGCCAATTGAATTTATTCTTTTAAAGTGGATAATATTTCAATTTCTCTTTTCACTATTTTTCCATCCTGGCCATCGTAGTTGCCCTAAGGTTATGGTGTGGTTTATTTATTAAAATAAAGTAATTCAACATTTTATCGCTATAATTTTCATAACATCGTCTCGTCTCAGCTATTTTATATAAGTTAAAATTAGGTCAGTCAGTCACAACGATACCGACGGTCGGTTTCAATGTCGAAACCGTCACGTACAAGAACGTCAAATTTAACGTATGGGACGTCGGGGGGCAGGACAAGATTCGACCGCTATGGAGGCATTATTATACAGGTAAGATTTTTTTTATTACAAACATGGAACCGATGAGAGATTGTACGCTCTCTTGTGACAATTCTTTTAGAACAACGACCTTACGCGTCGTCTGTGGGAAGTTAATGTTTTTGGCGGATATGTCGGTGATATTATGTCTCTTCTAATAAAGGATTGAATAATGAATCATAAGGTGACAACAATTGACCATAGATATACGCAATTTCAGATACTTTGCCTACCTTTAATATAATAAAATTAGGCCTCCAGGACGCACACTCATCAGACGAAACGTAGATTGCTTTCAAGCCAAGCCAATTGATGTTCAAGCCGGCTCTACCACTATTAAATTTCCGTATTCTCCATATGACGGATGAGAGGGAGCTTATTGGTGTAAAACAGTTCGAAGTATGATGATGTGTGTATGTTTTCAGGTACGCAAGGCTTAATATTCGTGGTGGACTGCGCGGACCGCGATCGCATAGACGAGGCGCGTCAGGAGTTGCATCGTATCATCAACGATCGCGAGATGCGAGACGCTATCATACTCATCTTCGCCAACAAGCAGGACTTGCCAGATGGTAATATTCAACTAGTTTCTATTAAGTATTTTCTTTATTATAATTATTATTTCAACAAACTTTGAAGTGGATAATTGTAAGTGTTTAAAAGATTAACCAAATGAAAAAAAAAACAATATGAGGGATGAAATTATGTGTGAGAACATTGATATTAAAAGTCGTATGTTATAATTTTCAGCGATGAAACCTCACGAGATACAAGAGAAGCTGGGCCTGACGCGGATCCGCGACCGCAACTGGTACGTGCAGCCGTCGTGTGCGACCTCCGGCGACGGCCTGTACGAGGGCCTCACCTGGCTCACCAGCAACCACAAGTTATGAGCTGCGGAGTAGGCGGCCAAGGGACGCCGCCACTAGCCCTGACACGGTACACATACCATTGCCCTTGAAAATAACATAAATTATGTTCTATCCTCTCCTTTCTCCATTCTCTCCTCTCACATTAAGAGTTCGTAGACATTAACAACTACGCGAATTACCTACTTAACCGGTTCAATACCAGAATTCAGACGTCCAATGGAAGTAATTCCGCGTTTTGTCTTGTTGGCATGTTTTTTATATGTGAGCAAGCGGCTACTTGATTTCGTCGAAATGGCGAAGCGACCATTGTCCATAGACATCGCAATCGCTGTTGTCTTTAATCGACGGAGGAGGGGAAGCCCGGAAAGATGATATGCCAGACGTTACTTCTTTTTCTCTTTATACTTACTTCCCATAGAAATAATAGGATACAGACAGACATAGATGATTACGACTAAATATTCCATGTCCCTTTGATGTTTTTTGATCCTGTTTTGTTTGTTATGATGTTTTGCGTGTACTTATATATTTTGTGTGTTTACTTTCAGATGAGGATGCCATTTAATTTAAGTAAGCTGCGCCCATGCCGTCGGATAGAAACCTCGTGAACCAGTGCCGATGTATTGGACATTGACTATCGTATGTATGTATGTATGTATTGCCGCTGTGTGTGTGGACTGTGACAGTGCGCCGCGGGACTCTGCTAATCTTAGTTAGAAACAAAAAAAAAACAAAGTGAACATTTACGTCACACTAAACGAAAATCTATTCCATTATTTAATTAAAATATTAGAGGTTTGTTGTAACGAAATATTTTGATTATTATTTTTTTATTTTTTATTTAAAAAAGCAATTAATTACGTATAGTAAACAATTTTTTATTATTAAAATATTATTAAAATTAATTTAATGTTTACCTCCTTTTTGTATAGTAAGGGAACATACTCATACTACGTGAGCTATTTTTTTTAGTTTTTTCGACCCCTCCCTCCCCTCGGTGGCCACTCGTAATACATGCCAAG